AAGAGCTAGCTCAAGCTCACTCAGTCCACTGGCAAACCATGCTACGCTTGACAAGACACAAATTCATTGCATGGACTGTAGTCTGTGCAGCTAATTGGGACATAAACACAAATACCTTAATTACTTGACCCAAGCGTAAACCAGCCCATTAATATTATTGATGTTGACATGAATGGTCACAGTACAGAGCTCCTATAGCTGTAGTCAAACGTTAAAGCCTACACATAGCTTATTGACACACTATATTTATAGCTGAAAAGGGTTTGTGCTTGGAAACTACGTCAGAGATAGGTGGTGTTCAAAATTGAACATGACAGTGAAGGGGAGGATTTCCAGCTGCAATGAAGGGAAAGGTTATCCAATGTACGTTACGTGTACATTAAATTATGATATATGTGAATTACATTTGTGTTTTTATGGGGAGGGGCTGATTGTTTGTACCATTGAGGTGAAAGGAGGAGGAGGGTGAGAGGTCAGGGTGACAGGGGAAGAGGTCAAGTGCAAAAAAACGGATTAAGGGAGGGTGGGGTGAGATGGGAGGGGGGGGGTGGATGTTGGGAAAGTTGAGAGGAATATGGTTGAAACATGTAGGGTGAAACATGATAGATTAGGTTCTGGAATTATGGATTTATTTATTGTTTTGTCTGAATTTCAACATTGATGTATTTTAGTTACAAATCAGATACAATGGTGCGTAAATATGCTTGATATCAATATTAAGTAGATGGAAATTTGAGAGGAATATGGTAGAAACTTGTAGGGTGAAATATGATAGATTAGGTTCCGGAATATGCTACATGTACTGGTATGTATATTTGGTATTAGGGATTTATTTATTGTTTTGTCTGAATTTCAACATTAATGTAATTCAGTTACAAATCAGATAAAATGGTGCGTAAATAACCAAATATGCTTGACAACAATAAATTAGAGTATACAGTAGTTGTGCAACATTACTCAACTGGAATGAAGTCATATGCTGGGACTATTTTAATGAATATAGCAATATACTTGCTTTTTAACAAATAAAATATCACAAACTTAGACATAATGGCCCGAATTCACAAAGGAGGTTTGTTGACAAACCTTGGTTTTCGTACGTCATATGACGCGTTTTACGCGTTTTTTTACAAACCTGGTTTGTAAAGAACAAAAGGAGGTTTGGCAAAACAAAAGGAGGTTTGAGCTCAAACCTTGCTTTGTGAATTCGGGCAACAGATATTGGAACACTATAGGCTGCAATGGAAAACAACCTGCATGATCTACCATTTAGAATTAGGCAGTCTCCATCAGTTATTACCATCAGAAAGGCGTTAAAACACATCTTTTTTGCAGTTTGTAGATGTAAGACTATTTTTCTTATTACATGTATTTATGTTATTTTCATTTTCATTCACTGTAAGCGCTTTGGGCCTTATGGGAAAAGCGCGGTATAAGTAATAATATATAAGAAGGCATAAGATCTTGAAAAACAACACATACTGTAAGCAATATGTTCCTACATGTAAATACGATTGCCAGATAACTATGACGATTCTTGAAGTGCGATCTGAAGGTGCACATCATTCAGAATCATATTGGCATGCATAGATGCACATAATGCATATAGATACTGACTGAGCAGACATTGAAATCTTCATCATCACGGGGCAATATTGTGTGCCTGGTGGTAGGTAATTTGTGCATGAAGTGTATGACAACATTCGGCAGTGGTCGGATCGTGTTGATGGGTGCGAATCGCCCCAGCGGCAGTCGAGAAGGGCAATTTGCAGAGCTAGCTTCATATGATGATGACTTCAATTATGTGGTTATGGGCAGTGTTTTTATTGATGAAAATTGCTTTAAAGGGGCATATCACACTGGCTGCACTCACCAGTAATTCATGGTCTAGTGGAGAAGGCTGTGGATCAATTGGTTCACGGTTCAAGTCCCTGCCTTAGCTCCAAATGTAACATCTTTTTTGTTGTTGCGAGATCTATCAGAAGAATCCTTTCAGGTTTCATTTCTCAGAGGTGCGATGGTATAGTCTCTGGGCTTTGGATCAAATGGTTCATGGATCAAGTTCCTGCCTTAGCTTCAAATGTAACATCTTTTTTGTTGTTGCAAGATCTATCAGTAGAATCCTTTCAGGTTTCATTTCTCAGAGGTGCGATGGTATAGTCTCTGGGCTGTTGATCAAATGGTTCATGGATCAAGTCCCTGCCTTAGCTCCAAATGTAACATCTTTTTGTTGTTGCAAGATCTATCAGAAGAATCCTTTTAGGTTTCTTTTCTCAGAGGTCCCATGGTCTAGTGGTGACGTCTCAGGGCTGTGGATCAAATGGTTCACGGTTCAAGTCCCTGACTCAATAGCTCCAAATGTAACATCTTTTTTGTTGTGCAAGATCTATCAGAAGAATCCTTTTAGGTATCATCTCTCAGAGGTGCCATGGTCTAGTGGTGAAGTTTCAGGTCTGTGGAACAAATGGTTCATGGTTCAAGTCCCTGCCTTAACTCAAAATGTAACATATTGTTTGCAAGATCTATCAAAAGAATCCTTGTAATTTTCATTGGTCATTGCTACATGTACTTCAAATATTCTCCCATGTAGGAATTTAAAAAAAGAGCGAGGAAGCTCACCAATTAGTACTTCATTTTATTTAACAAGGACTCAACCTGTTTTTCTCTTTGATGACGTGAAGACTTTAACGGCACATATTTATTTAGAAGCTACATGTACATGTATATGGTACGAACAGCCAATTTCTAATACATGGGGAAAGCCAGACTGTAGCATCTTCTTAATAACATTAGCAAGCCTAAACATATATAGAGTATGTTTATATGTCGGTAGATTGGGCAGAAATTCTTGAGTAATATGTTTTAGATGATTGTTGTTGAACACCACATTGCAAAGCTCAGTTTGATTAAATCCTTGGCCATACATGCAGCTGCATCTTGGACATTCGATGCTGCATGACGGTCAGGGTACGATGAGCCGATGTATGCGCAGTTCAGTGATCGATGACCATCCTCATCGGGTCATCCTGTCCGGTCTGGTGGCCACGTTACATGACCTTTCGTGAAGCAAAAGCGGAAGATCACATGAAGATGCATGTTAAGGACGTAGATTTGAAGTTGTGTTTTCACGAAGTGTCAGGTATATTGGACCAGACCATTTGTAGATGAGAGGTGTTTATTTCACAAACATTATCTGTGATGTTTCGTGAATGAAGGGGCTTGTTTTCTCAAAAGATTTGGTAAGGCGACCACTTGACCAGATGCGATGGCCCGATGATTCAAAGTATTAAAGCCCTTTGAAATGCTTTAAAATGCTAGATCTCATCATTCTTATGAGTCACAGTGTGACTGTCCCTTTAAAACATCAAGTCCAGCACTGCACAGCTCTGCAAAGTTTCCTTTCCAAGTATCTGACCTGGCTTTAATCTCGTAGCTCTGTGACTTTCCCTTTAAAAACACAGGACTTCTTGTAGCTCTATGACCATTGCTGTCTAAAAGCATAAGGCCCAGACACAGTGCACAGCTCTGCGTCTGTGCTTATCATCAGGCACGGCCACAGCGCAAACAAGCAGCTCTGTCACTGCCCCTTTAAAGGTAAAGACCAGTATTGGAAACGCCCCAATTTCAAAAAATGAAATGGAAGCTCTTATTACCAATCATGTGAAAGAGTATGTTTTGACTAATGCATGATGATGAAAAATTTGCCGGGAAACCGCCTACTAATTGATATATTTGGTAAATTAGTTTATCTATTGGTGTGTGAGAGATAAACGCATGTGTCGCGCATGTGTGTGTAGTCCCATATACATCTTTCTGTGTACAGTGCTTGTAACGAAGACTGGGCCAAATTTCTTATCATTTTGATGATTGCAGTACACACCAATACTTATATGCTAGATGATCAACCTTTTCTGATCGATTCCACGACGTTTCTTTCACAATGCAATTGCATGACCATAACTGGTCTTTATCTTTAACATCAAGCTGTGACAACCATGATGAGTCGCATGCACAGTTCAGCGGTCTGTGACCATCCCTTTAAAATGCCTGGGCCCAGCCGCCGCCTGCATCTCTTGGCTCTGTGACTATTAGAGCTGTCTTCCATTGAGATAATGAGATGAGATAAGCCTTGAAATATTAATTTCTAAACTAACTCCAGGCTAGAGCATGTACTTTGGCTGATTGTTTGTTTGCTAGCTGGTTCGTGAGGGAGGGGGGAAAGGGAGATGCGATCGTGTTAAAGTAGCTGGAGCAGGGGAAAGGGAAGGACGTTGGAATCGTGAGAAAATTCTCAAAATAACAACAGAAAAATTGTAGGCAAATTCATATAGAAAAGAAAAGGTATCAAGAAGAGGGTTCCATTTAGAATAGTGAGTGGTTTATTTTGTATACCAAACATGATATCAAAAAGATAAAATTATTTATGATAATTATTTTCATGGCACATCCCCAAACCTTCTCTACACCATGTATCTACATGAATATTGAAATCGCTTTAATCTTGTGTATAACGCATACCAGGTACATCATATTACAAAGTGCTTATAGAGGAATTTTTTCTCTTAACATCCTCCTTAAAAAAAAGGAAGGAATTAAATATATTCCATTTTAGGTAAATACCCTCATGTCATTGCAAGTGATACCGAGAGTATGATTGTTTTTGTATGGATGACAAAGGAAGCCGGATACTTGATGGGATACATTTTACAACTGAAAAATCTATACCCCCCCCCCCATAAATAAATAAATTTCCAACTCCATGTTTTATCATCGGGAGTTTGATTTTTTAATCGGGTTGTCTACTTGTCCAAAAGTGGGCTCGGAAACGATTTGTCACATCTATTTTTTTACTGATTTGTTTATACCTGCTAAGAATGAGCAGTTGAATATATTATAAGGGCTAAATTTTAGAAATGTACATCAAGTGAGAACAAGCCTCGATACTGTATAAAGTAGCAATGAATTATTCTCATATATTTTTCTGGATTCTTTTTTTACAGACGTCTTCTAGCGACAAGCCACGGTCTCGTCGGGGAAGTCGCGATGAGCTGCTCAATAGTGCCTTCTCACGTTTTGGTCGTGACTCCGCTGGATCTGCCCGTCAGTCGCTCTCCAGCGCTCATCCAAGCATGAACAAGTGGACCGATGCACAGCAGAAGGCGGAGAGTCAAGTGAGTAGTCTTAAAGCCCCATCGCACTAGTTTGGCCAGGAGGGATTAGACCTCCCTCCATGGTCACTGACAGGTGGTTATCTCATCAAATCAGCTCTCAATTAACATAAGAAAAAGAGGATCATGGGGACCAATGGTCACCGATTTGGCATTGCTTGCTTTATAGAGGGCGCAAGTAGCTATAAGTAGTGCAGTGGGGCTTTAAAAGGGAAATCCTATCTTGGTGGCAAACTTCTCTATTATTAAAAAATTAAAGCAGAAAAATCAAAGAAGCTGACTGTGGAAAGTTTGAATGAAACTGGCCCAAATATAAGAAAGTTGTGAATTTTTGCAAGTTTTAATCACTCTACGTATGGCACTTTGTCTGAATATGTAATGTCATTGTGAGAAGTGCCAGACTACTTTCCCTTACAGTATGTTTGTACACACAAAATGATTAAAACCTTTTTTTTTACTTCAAAACGCAAGATTCATGTGGGTCTTTTCTTTTTAGAGGACCTACAATAATATGCTATCCAGAAGGCACTAACAAGAATAATAGAAATTTATTTTTGTACTCGACAGGAGAGTTGTCCCATGACTGCGTCACAATCCACTGACCAAATTGCCAATTTGAGATTCACATGGATTTAGTGATCTCACATTTCAAACATTCACAATTCCCCCATCATTGGCCTGATTTATTTCAAACTTTTGTTACTCCATTTCTCTTAATTTTCTGCTTCCATACCACTAGTTATTACAAGGGTGGCCCTTTAACGATTGTCATGTTTAATTTTGCAGGGAGGTTCTGAGAGAGGTCCCGATGTTATGATAGAAGGCGACCAAGATGCAGAGACTGACAGTATTGTACTTACGAATGATGGGACACCACTGGGTGTTCATATCATCAGCAAGATAGAGCAAGAAGATGGAAGGTAATACTGATAATACTCAAGACAAAGTATGATGGTAATTATGATATTAATATAGTGAGAATGTGGGGAAGCTCTGTGATGGGCCCAGTTGGTAAACAGAGGCAGAGGCAGACAGTATTGTACTTACAAATGATGGGACGCCTCTAAGTGTTCACATCATCAGTAAGATAGAGCAAGAAGGTGGAAGGTAATAATGATAATACTAACGAAAAGTATGATGGTAATTATGATATTAATATAGTGAGAATGGGGGTAAGCTCTGTAATGGGTTCAGTTGGTAAACAGAGGCAGTGACAGACAGTATTGTACTCATTGAGAGGTGTTCATATCATCAGTAAGATAGAGCAAGAAGGTGGAAGGTATTCATAATATTAAAGGTAAAGACCAGTATTGGAAACGCCCCAATTTCAAAAAATGAAATGGAAGCTCTCATTACCAATCACGTGAAAGAATATGTTTTGACTAATACATGATGATAAAAAAATTGCCGGGAAACCGCCAACTAATTCATATATTTGGTAAATTTGTTTCTCTCATGGTCTGTGAGAGATATAGGGTAGTCCCATATACATCTTTCTGTGTATAGTGCTTGTAACTTTACGAAGAATGGGCCAAATTTCTTATCATTTTGATGATTCCAGAACCTTGCAGATGCTAGATGCTAGATGATCAACCTTTTCTGATCGATTCCACAACGTTTCTTTCACAATGCAATCACATGACCATAACTGGTCTTTACCTTTAATATAGTGAGAATGTGGGTAAGCTCTGTAATGGGCCTAGTTGGTGAACAGAGGCAGAGGCAGACAATATTGTACTTACAAATGATGGGACGCCTCTAAGTGTTCATATCATCAGTAAGATAGGGCAAGAAGATGGAAGGTAATATTGATAATACTCAAGACACAGTATGATGGTAATTATGATATTAATGTAGTGAGAATGGAGGTAAGCTCTGTAATGGGCCTAGTTGGTGAACAGAGGCAGAGACAGACAGTATTGTACTTACAAATGATGGGACGCCTCTAAGTGTTCATATCATCAGTAAGATAGAGCAAGAAGATCGAAGGTAATAATGATAATACTCGAGACAAAGTATGATGGTAATTATGATATTAATGTAGTGAGAATGTGGGTAAGCTCTGTGATGGGTTCAGTTGGTAAACAGAGGCAGAGACAGACAGTATTGTACTTATTGGGAGGTGTTCATATCATCAGTAAGATAGAGCAAGAAGGTGGAAGGTATTCATAATATTAATAGTTCTTGCATCCATGGAAAGAGTGTTATCACCCTATCTCAAAACATTTTGAAGGCATTTTAAATAATAGATACAGAGAGAAATTTACTACCACTATTAGCAAACATGAACGTTATTTGTCTCAAATAATTAAACATACTTGTAAATATGTTTTAGCAAGATTTGAAAACGCTTCAATAATGAATATCAATAATATTGTATACTAGAAGCCCTCTTGTTGCAATAAGCCTCACATATCATTGATTTTAATAAATATTTCATCTGCCAGAAGTACTCATATCTCTAACTCAAACAACCTCCAAGTGGCACAGCCCACATCATGGCAGCCATTGAATTAATCATTAAACTCTCTACCAACAGGAAAGGACTAATTTTCTCCATACAGTCAGTTTGGTATTAAAAAACCCTGGGGTAGTTCCTCGAAATGGTCATAAGTCTAACTCCTTAGGCATCCCATTGAAACGTGTGTCATAGATCTAACACACTTTGCTGGGATGTCCATGAACTTAGACTTATGACGGTTTCGTGAAACTGGCCCCAGGTGACTACATTGTATAGATAAGTGGCAGTGATACAGTATATCACTTTATTCAATCACCATATTTTTCTGCACCTCTCTCAATATATAATTATCTTGGCATTTTGTCTCATATTTCTTTTTATTTCTCTGTTTTCTTTTCTCCTCCCCAGTGCGTTTGGTATAGTGGTACACAGCATTGAGGCTGGTGGTAGGGCTGCCCGTGATGGTCGTCTCAGGCCTGGTGATTACATTGTACAGATCAATGGCAGTGATATATCACTGCACTCTTTCAATCGGTGAGTACAAATTTATTTATCCTAATCTTAGTCTTAATGGGGAAGTCTACCATGATATTAAGTTGGTTTTAATTAAAGCAAAAAAATTAGAGAATTAAATTAGTGAAAGCTGGAGCAATATCCGATAAAAAGTAGGAAAGTTATGATTTTTAAAGTTGTCATCAGTGAAACCCAAATTTGCAACAAAAAACTGGGATGTATCTTGTGAGCTCCTCTCCAATTTAATCGAAATTTTTTCTTAAGGGCAATTTGGAGGGGACCTCGCAAGATACGTCACAGAGTTGCCAATATGTGTGTGATTGAACGCACCTTCAAAATTTCATAACTTTCTTATTTTGTATCCGTTCTCGGAACTTCACGCTCAAGGTTTCATTGACCCGTTCCTCTCATTGTTCTGCTTCTATTAAAAGCAACTTAGTATTTGGGTGGACTTCCTCTTTAATCAAATACTATACCTTCTCAGAATGAGCTAAGTCGATTTGAGACAATTTGGAAAAGGCCAAGGGGTGTCATTTATTAACCAATGACAATTCCAAGATATCTTGCTAAATGAAAATTATTTTGACAAGTAACCCTGAGGTTATTCAAAAGCAGCAGTGATACGTGTTAACACTTGTTTCATATTTCATATTTGAGAATCTTTCACATTGCTGTGACCGATGATATCAATAGGCATCATATTGGAATTCATTATTGTCCAACTCTATACAGAGCACAAGAGATGCTGCGAGATGCGATGCGCAACCCCACTGTCAAGCTGACCTTACAACGAGATACCTTCTTCAGCTCTGAGGCAGCCGTCGGCGGCACAACACCGAGAGAGAACGGCCATCTTCACATCACCATTCCACCAAAGTCCCCAGACGGGAAAGTCCCTCCAGTCATCCCAGTGCGATCTCCTACCACGGCACTCTCGTCCCCTACAGACCCTAAGAGCCCCAACGCCAAGCTTATAGCACCCATGAGCACCAGGAGAATTGGTCGCAAACTATATATTCAACTCATGAAAGGTAACAGAATTCACATGATATTTTTTTTGCTGGGATTATACAAAACGAAACACAATATTACTAAAAAGTACATGCAGTAGTAGATGTCAGAGTCACTAAATTCTTTAATGTTTCTAGTTTCACAATAGCCTGTTTGAATAGGCCTTTAATTTTTTTTTGTGTAGTTCCCATTTTCCCCCCATTTCCTCTTCCTTTGTGATACACAGTATCTTTTCTCCTTTATCCTTTGTTACCATGTTAGTGGTGGGTATTTCACCTGACTGCTATTAAGAAAGGATAAATGCTTGTTAGTATTAAGCAACCAGCCTTTTAGCTAAACTATGCTGTCTGTATACTCCTGAAACAAACAAAAAATGATACAAAAGTTTGCCACAAGAGGCAGGATGAAGTTCTTTAAGTTCACAGACTTGTATTTATGTGTGCTGTGTTGTTGATTCCCTTTTACTACGATCTTTGTTTCGCTAGGTCCTCAAGGGTTAGGCTTCAGTGTGACATCTCGGGACAACCCCACTGGTGGAAAGAACCCCATCTTCATCAAGAACATCCTGCCTAAAGGAGCTGCTATATGTGATGGCAGGCTCAAACCAGGAGACAGGGTGATGGAGGTACTAGAAAGATACATTTGTTTGTCTTTTCATATAGAGTACGAAGTTGTGACATCATAAAAGTCTATTTTTAGAATTTCTCAATTTGAACTTAATTTTCAGAAATCACTGTTATGAACCAGAGCAAAATAACAGTGATTTTCTATTGAACTCTATTTATTCAATGGTCATATCTCAACCAATAACTAACATATATTAAATTGGTTCTCGACATTTGGACATTATTTTTTAATGCTCTTTTGGAAAATGAAGTTCAAATTTGGAAACTCTAAAAATAGTTATTTGATGACATCACACACTTGACCATTCTATTAGGTAAGGTTACACTAGCATGAAAGTAGAAGGAAGGTCGAATCTACAAGTTTGTTTATAGTGTTGTCGAGTGTGATTGCAAATCTTCTGATAACCTACTAGGAAACTTCTAGATATTCCCAACTGAACTATGAAAGATTTGATCCCTTTAAGTTTTGCCATTGCGACCGGCTGACCGCATACTGTAGAAAGTTCTGAGCAAGAATACATTCTTGAAACTAGAAACTGAAAAGTCAAATTCTGAAAATTCAATTCTCTTTGTTCAGATTACATTCAAAATGACAATTAGAAGCAATATGTTGTGATAAGATCATGCATCCGTTGTGATTTAGAGACTTCTTCAGTAACTCTTTAAGAATAAGTTAATTTATTCATTTCTGTTATTTTCAATATCTGTTTCCAGGTGAATGGTATCGAGATGACTGGTAAGAGCCAGAGTGAAGCTGTATCCATCCTGCGTAGTGTGAAGCTAGGAGGTGTGGTCAACCTCGTAGTGTCCAGACAGGACTCACCAGTCAAGATGGTCCCAAGACAACTGGTCAGTATATCCCTTTGGGTACAGCAAGGGCAAGCATTTTCAGTTACCGATAACTCAGAATGTTGAGAAGTTAACATGGGTATGAAGAAGTGGAAGCCCAAAAGTATGCTAAGTAAAAATATAAAAGTGTGAACGTGCTTAAAACAATTTTTCTTCTATTTTTATGCCTCTGAGACATAATTATAATAATCATAGTAATGGGAAAGTGGAGGAGGATTATGGTTGTGATTCTGATGATTATGATTCTGATGACGACGGTGACGATGATGATGATGGTCATGGTAATGATGATGATGATGGTGACGATGATGATGATGGTCATGGTAATGATGATGATGATGGTGATGGTGACGATGATGATGATGGTCATGGTAATGATGATGATGATGATGGTGATGGTGGCTGACAGGAAATATTATGAGACATGGTAATTGTAGACAATACAGTAGACATCACTCCGTACATCTGAATCTGAAATATTTACACCAAAATTGAAATCGGAATCAATCAAATTATTGAAGTTAAAATGGTAGCCTAAAATGGCAATGTGTGGGTGGGGGGGGGGGGATGTCTTTGAATAAAATTGAGGGGCACATTCACATTGTAAATAATTATCCATATACATGTATGTGTACATCGTTTTCTATTGTTGAATTTTGTATTGTATTTCCTATCGTTCGTATGTTGGAAGCAAAATTTCTAGTAATGTTTGCATGCATGGACCAATAAAATAATCTTGAATCTTGAATATAAATCTATCCCTGATTCGATCTTTAAGCAGCCTGAGGATGCTGCTCCTGTGGAAGACCCGGTCACCTCTCCCCAGAACAGGGCAGTGATGACCTTTGACATCCCCCTGAATGACACAGGGTCAGCGGGGTTAGGGGTCAGCGTCAAGGGCAAGACCAGTGGAGCTACAGAGGATCATAGCAGTAAGGATCTAGGAATCTTCATCAAGTCTGTTATCCATGGCGGAGCAGCGTCTAAGGTACTCTCAACTTTCGAGTAGTCAGGTTTTCTCTCCGTTCTGTAATTTTCATTCCTAACTTTTCAAAACAGACTAGGCAGGTTGTGGAAATACTGATGTGTTTTGGTAGAGCATAGAACAGAAACATCCTTGTATGTTTTGTCAATCAAGTTTTGCTTTCTTCATAAAACTTGAATTGAATTGAATTGAAGACATTGGAGATGAATAAAATTGAGATTCATCAACATCTGTATGAATTATGTCATTCCTTTGTCAAATAACATTTTTGCATATAGGAGCTTATACATGTACATTCATATGTCAAAATAATAGATGTATGAAACTCAAGGAAAATACATTACTTGTGGAGATTGTTTGATATTTTTCTAATACACTTCTGTTTTCAAGATAATTGTCATGTCAACTACAGTGCTTTTTTGCTGCCAACGTTTCCTGTGTAAGACAATATAAAAGATAGTTCTATTTCATGAAGTTAAGTGATTTCATGCATGTGCATTGGCAGTGTTAAGATGTTTTTGATATTAAACATGTAGTTGTTTGCTTGTAGGATTGTCGTCTACGCCCAAACGACCAGCTTCTGTGCATCAACGATACCTCCCTGGCCAACATGTCTAACAGCGAAGCCATGGAGACGCTTCGCCTGGCAATGTCTCACGAGAAGTCCCCCCGCTCCACCATCTCACTGGTGATCGCCCGGCGACTCGACCAGCAGGAACCCACCTTCCACACCAACAACCTCAACAAGGGTGCTACGAGTCCCGCGACGGATCGCAACGTAGACAGCGGTCTCCTGTCTCCGCTCCCTCAAAAGGACGGCAACTTTGGGATGCCTAACAGCCTCTCGGACGGAGTCCTCAGCTCCCGGACCATGAACGGTGGTGGCATGCATCGTGGAAACGAGATCGTAGTGCAGGCGTCGGTGGAACCGCATCATGCCACGTCACCGAGGCACCAGGGGGCTAAGGTCACCTATCCCGGCAGCGATGGAGAGCCTATCTACAGTAGAGGGGCAAGGAAGTCTTCGAGTGGACAGACGCTTCCGTCATCAGGTTCAGGGGAGACAGCGATGCAGGCTGATGCTAGCCCACCACCTATGCACCTGTCCATCCACAGCTCACCTTCCGCTAGGGCGCCCTCACCCCCTCAATGGCTCCTGGACTGGGAGAACGGTGCTAAAGATGGGTAAGTTCAAATTGCAGTCAAACCTGCTTTAATTACCACCTGTCTACAAAGACCACATTTTTGGTTTCCCTTGAAAATGGATTCTCATTGAAACATGTACTAAACAAACATGTCTTCACTTTTTGTGTTTCCCTTGGGTGGTCGCTACAGACAGTTTTGACTGTACTTCTTGCTTTGGATGAAAATTCTGTATTTCTCAAGTGTGTACCTTTAGAGCATTGTTCAAGTTGGTTGGTTGGTTGGTTGAGGTAAATACATAGAAACCTATGTTGAAAGACCACTCACTAGAAACAAGAGAATTTATTATTTATTGTTATTGGGCAAGTTTTCGTCATGTACAAGTACCTTTCTTATCTGTTTCGATGATATACTTTGTTTAAAGAATAAACTTGAGTTACATGTATGGTTAATATAGAAAATGAATTATCACAGAATCCAACGAAACTTACGCTGAACATTCAAGATTACAAATAAATGACATGTGCCGAACAATTTTCATAGAAAATGTATAGTGGCTGAGTAATGAGCATAGAAAGATAAGGAAATCCAGGTAAGTAGGCCCGACACCATGCTTAACACAGTTCACTATGTGCAAAGTGGAGTAGTGGTTTTTATCGAAGATGATGCCCAGTAAATTTTGTGTGCGTTTGTTTCTATTTGAGTGGTTCAAACAACCAATCTACTGCAGGATAAACAATCCAGAATAAATCATAGCTATTTCTCTCAAAATACGATTCCCAAACCAGAGCTTAAGACTAGCTCAAAGGGAATAAAAAGGTGTTCTTTTCTATGTAGATGGATTTGCATGCATATCTTTCTTTGTAAGAGTTAATATAGATGTGACCTGAAAGTTTCTAAATCAACCCCACAGTTTTGAAATCATAGTCGTATCAAAGAAAATCTGTAACGCTCTGCTCTCTCTTTATCACTACAGGGAGCTGAGTCCATTACCAGATCCTGACAATTTTGCTCGAGACAACTATGCCAGGGCCAGCTTTTCAGAGAGGCGTCAAGGGGGCTCACTGGATGCTAAACAGGTAAATAATCTAAATGTACAGTCAACCTGGCACAAATCATGTCCCATTTGTCAAATAATCTATTAAGTCGATGATAATAAAAAGTCAAACATTTTCTCCATGGACTTACCTGTGTTGGTCCTATGTATTAGTCGGTTTTGAAGGTTGATCAAATTCCCAGAACAGTTTCAAAGAAAAAGCACTAAATTCTCATCGCAAAAGTCAAACGAAGGCAATGTGTAATCACTCACTGTCAAAGCAAGCGCTACACACTGATTTTTTAAATACCATACAACTCTGTACTCCAGACTTGCTGGCGTGCCCTCCTCTGTTCTCCTCTCCCCCTCTGTATCTTACCTGCCTCTCTATCCCTCTCTCTCATACCCACCTCTCTCTTTCCCTCCCTCTCATACCAGCATCTCTCCACCTCTCTCTCTTGTACTAGCCTCTCGCCCTCCTCTCTCTTTCCCTCCTCCTCTCCCTCCCTCCTCCTCTCCCTCCCATACCCCTCTCCATTCCCTTTCTCTCTCACTACTCCACAGAGCATCTCTCATAATACAATGATTGTTCATTATTTTATTCCTTTCAGATGGCTTGGTACAAGAAAACAAAAGGCGAGGCACCAAATAAACAAATAACCTCAGCACAAAAAGGTGAGACCATAATAGATATTATTGGAGTCAACACACAGCAACTGGAAAAGTTTATCTGGTGCTATTAACTATTGCTGTGCCAATGTTACATATATGTGACAAACAGACAAGATCATTTCAATCAACCATTTCTCCACTAAAAAACATGTATATGAGGATCAAATATATGAATGTTTGGAGCATGAATCAAGCTTTTTAAATAACTAATAATTATTACACATGTATATGCTACTAGAAAAAAAATTGTGAGAAAATTGAAGATTTTGTTTAGGATCTTTTCTCATTTAAGCATTATTTGTAGTAAATGAATAAAGAACAGAAACATGAAGCATGAAAAGAAAACTCACTTTTATCTCAAAAAGGGTACTAAATTCCACATATTTCGCCTGGATGTCATGGTTTGAGAGGTTCAGGTGTAAGACAAAAGAGGACATCGTTCAGGTTTTGGTATAATCTTTCAAACATGCAATACCCCTTGGCACACAGTAAGAGTATAAATGGCAAGAATTTTTTTTTTTTTTTTTTTTTTTTTTTTTTTTTTTTTTTTTTTTTATTTTTTTATTATAGTCGCTCAAATGTTTTTGTAGTACAAATTTGCTACAATTGCTGTACTTTGGGGTGTTAAAAGTAATTATTGGCATTACAAATGGATTTTTATTAAGTTTTGAATTTCATTGTTTGCCCTTCATCATAGCTGTAAGCTTTGCAGTTGAGTGAAATGCAAAAGCTTTCTATTTTAATTCTTGAGTTGTGTTAACGTTTAAAGATTTGCATATTTATGTATACTGTTTTTATCCCGACACAATACTTGCAAGCTGCACACTTATTTTTATTGCATATACACTGTTTGTTGAAAAACTTCTTATGTTTTTAGCTTTTAGCATGGTGTTTTGTTTAAACCTTTGATATCAGATTTAAACTGTACTTGTAAACCTTATTTTTGAGTTATTCATCATCATTATCCATGTTTGTTTATATATTCAGCATTCCTCTATCAGTGTACATGTTGATGAAGCCAATGTGATCTTTCCCTTTGATATGCCAATCGTAATTTTGAATATTTAGTTACCGTATCTATACATTTACATGTATGTTTTGTCTGTGAGCCCCCTTGTTTATCATTTGATATATAAAAAAAATAGTAAATGGGTCCTTTCTACATTAAAATCTATGGTATGTGTACACAGAAATTTAGCTGTGTTTATTTATTTATTTATTTATTTATTTATTGTAAATGTCATATGCCCCCATAGATATTTGGTTCATAGATATACAGATACTTTGCTGCTATTAGAAATTCTCAATTCTGAATTGTTTAAATTCATGAATTGTAATTTTAAACCAAAATAAAGATATTATTTTGGTAGTGGAAATCAGATATATACTTACTTGTAATAACCATAAATCACTAATTCATGAGGTGAATATTCAATACAATATACTTCAGGGTAGTGAGTTAGGATTTCATTAATCTGAAAACTTGTAGGAAAATACACTTACTGAGTATGCCCTCCCCACACCCCTCGTCTTTACACAGATGTCGCCGCCAGTACGAGTAGTCTGCTCCGATCGAGCTCGATGGATTCCCTCCTCGACTCTAAACCTAGCACTAGCCGGGTTGAAGAGAGTAAGTAGCGCCCTCCTGTGTTGAAAAGAAAACACACCTAATCCAACCGGAGGGACTCTTTTTGCTTTGTTTTCCATGCTTCAAATCATTTTCTTTTTGCATAAAAAAAAAAATTTGCAGTGCACTAATCAGATAACTTTATTTCCTCTCATCTTTCATTTCTGTAGTCATTCTGTGTTTTTGGTGGAAAGGGACTTTTCTGGGAATTAATTGTGTTGGATGTGTGTCAGTGTTGGATTGTAGTGTTAACTCTTTTTTTCTTTAATAGGTAAATATTTGCAGTGAAATGGCTTGACAGTGATTTACCTGCCGATATGAAAGATTGTGTTTGAAGTATATAGAAACTTGTGTGATGTTTTGTTAGTAATCATGTGTACATGAAAGTTTGCAGACAAAATGAAATATCCATTACAAAAAATGTTTGAAAGAGCACGTTTTGGTCAAACATTTATCCTGTAGATAAATAACATTTAATTAGGAGGAGGAAGAAAAAAGTGTCTAGTAGAGGCCATAACTCAACTTACAACCTGACCATGGCAACATTTTGGTATAATCGTAAATAGCATTAGTTATTTTGGAAACATAGGTCATTTATATGACAATTAATATCAAAATTGGGATTTGAAGCCTCCTACTGAGAGAAAAATGAAATCAGCAACCAGTTGGGGCGCAATACTGGTCTTGTGACTAGTATGCTGTCATTATGGTTTGGTTTGGTTTGGTTTGATGGTTTGTTTTACCTGACTGCTAAGAAAGCATGTGTGTGCTTATAATTAAGCAACCAGGGGACTGACAGCTTTAGGTACTCTTATCTCTGAGGGACTTGGTAATGAGTATATCACAGGGCACTAGCGCATTGACTTGGTTTTGAACCCGGGACCTCCCGTTTACGAAACCACCGCTCTACCACTGAGCCATCGTGTCACTGTCAATCATTGTTATCTCTGACTAAAATTTCCCAACATCTTGCATTTTTTATATTAATTTTCATACAATAATTCAAGGCCCAAGTCAAGAAGAATTTCTTATTTTCAAATTGCCACTTTCCAGCTCTTATTCATGACCAAATGCTATAACTATTCTGCTAATCTTTCTTCAAAAATATCCTTTGATATGCTTGTGAATAGAAATCCTTGAGTACTGTAAAATACTGCTGTAAAAAAGCTTGTGTCTTGTGGAACTATTTGCATGTTATTGTGGTGTGCATTATATTTTATTTGTTTTGTATTTTCAATTTATATTCTGCAATATTCTTTTTCAGCTTCTCTTATTTATTGCGCTACATCAGCAAACTCTGTCTACGCAGTATTAGTGTCTTTCTGTGTGGTGTGATTTTACTCTTTCACCTTTGCACATGAATTTATTTTTTCTGCAATACATTATATTCCTTTAAATTATTTTATTATCTTTCATGTTTGGCTCTGTCTTTGCTGGTCTGTTGTGCAACAGTAATCTTGCATTTTATTTTAATAGCTTTTGTATCAATATGCACTGGATTTAAATTGCACATCATTTGTATGATAACCTTCCCCAATAAATGATTTTTGTGTTGTCTCAGGTATGGTAATGGGTAGCAGTTATGTCATCATATTTCATTCTCACTTACTGTATTAATTTTTCTAAACCATTAATAGAGGTACATGTCGAGTAACTAAAAACCAGGAGTGCTATTTGACATCGTAATGTGCAATTGTGTTTCCTGAGTTTACAACTCGTAGTGTTAAAGTATTCTTTTACTTTATGGCACAATTCATTTTACTTTTATTTATTTAATTGAACAAAAGATGAGAATGTAAGATTCATGACATAAAGTAGCAAAAATGAATAAGTTGTGAGCAAACAAGTAAATACTTCTCCCTTATCTATGTTCTTAAGCCTGCTTTCACGGTGAAGTGATCAATCAGTCAATCAATGAATCAAGCTTCTAATTTACAGTCAACACCTCAATTATTCATACCCCTTGTAAATTTTATGTTTTTCATGCTTTTATATGTCACATTCTTGAGAAACATAAATTGCAACAAATCAATTATATACTTAACAAATTACAAAACTTGGTATTTAGGGGGTAAATAATGTTGTTGTTAATTGTATGAAATCTACAAGTACAAAGTGATCAACTGGCATAATTCTGTCAACTAAACAATGTATCAAGATTGAATTGATCATTCAATTAATATCAATGACTGTAAACCCTTTATTCTGTTCTTATTACCAGGTTCTTCCAAAACCATGGGGCCCGGTTTGGGTATGGAAAAGTCTAGCTCACTTGAGAGCCTTCAGGTGGCAGTTGCCAATGTTCATCAACAGAGGGAGGACTTCCCTGGTCGACCCCGAGCGAAGGTCAGGAGAGGTCGCGTCTGTAACGACAGCTTCAGAGCAGCGGTGGACAGGTCTTACGGTGACCAATCACCCAATGGAGATATGCCACCAATGTATACAGGTGAGGAGGAGGATATGAAGAGAGGAAAGGGAGAAGACATCGGGTTAGGTCGTTTACCGGTATATGCTTTTCACACTTGTGTTGCTTAGCCCCATACTTAGGTTAGCCCCATACTTTCCTTAGCCCAGGGCTAACTTTTTTTGCATTTCCCACACGCTGTTTTAGTCCCGGGATAAGAAAATTCATGTTAGCACTGCTCTTTTGCAGGGCCTACTAACCCTGTACTTTCAGTGAGTCTAGCCCACGTTGGTGTGTGAACAGAAAGTGGGCTAAGCTTAGCCCAGGACTATAGTTTGGGCTAAGACCACCCTTTAGCCCCACCTATTGCCCGGGGCTAAGCAAAGTTTTACCAGTGTGAAAAGCATATTAGACACTCCTATACATCCAATTCCCATTAGACATTTCAAATATCTGCTCTTTTTTGGACAATATATTTTCTATGACCCTAACATACCAATTTGTGTTGAACTTTGTATAAGATATTCAGATTACAAAATCATTTATGTTTGTGTTGAACTCTGTACAGTGTATAGGGTGTGCAAATAACAAGTTAATTAAAGCCCCTTCATTATTCAGTGATCTGATACTCATCTAAGAATAAATGAGAAATTTTCCCTTGTATGCATGTGAGCCAGATGAATGTTACATCCATCAAATATTAAAGCGTTTTGCTTTGCATTTAGCTATTAGAAAGATCCTTTAATCATGAAGACATCTACCAATAAATCAATTATTATCAATTAGTTGTACTGGTATCACTTTTGAGAAAAAGGAGTTGGGATCCTTACCAAAATTGATTACCAACTGTTATAATTCATCTTCCCTAGTGATGGAGGCTGACGAGAATGGAGGATACATTCTATGATTATGATTATGATTTATCGTTTTACTGGTATCACTTTTGAAGAAAAAGAAGAGGTTGGGATCCCTTACCCAAATTGATCACAAACTTTAATAATTCATCTTCCTTAGTGATGGAGGCTGAGGAGAATGGAGGCTACGGCATCTCAAGGTCCAGTGGAGGAGGTGGAGGAGGAGACGGTAGCATCCAGTCTGCAGGGAGTATGAAGAAGAAGAAAGATAAGAAAGAAGATAAGAGCAAAGCAAAGAGCTCTGGTACGGGATTCAAAGGACTCTTTAGGTCAGTATTAAAAATCACATAAAAATTATTGTTTTCTGTGCTATACAAGATCTTTCTGATCACTCATCAAATTCAATTGTTGATAATTGTGTTTTAAGCTGTGTATCCTTTCTGAATGTGAATAAGCGAGACTTAAATTCTAAACTTACTTGCTCAAGCCTCATTGGCAACTTGTATACTATGTAACAGATTTGTTATGACGAGTACCCTTCCAAATGCATAGTGAATTTGTCCTAAATGTTACAAAAAGATAGAAAAAAGCTACTTAACATCTTATGATTTTCTAGTCATGATTTCAATTTTGACTTCAAGTTCTTGATTCATTTTGTGCATTCATACTGTCATATGCAAGTTACATGTAGGAAGAAAAGTCCAAACATCCTGAACAATACATGTATCTCTTTGTTGCATAGATTTGGGAAGAACCGCAAATCCATTGGGTCCGAGAATGCGCTGAAAGGAAAGGACAAAGACAGCAATAAGAGTCAAATATCCGCGACCGAGCGACTTGAACAGGAAGAGGTGGAGAGGAGGAAAGCAAGACAACAGGCCAAACAGGAACACGAAAAGTAAGAACATTAAGTAGCATTGAGTGTCGTAGTTGAGTGGTTTAAGCACATGACTTAAAATTCAAAGGTCGTGGTTCGATCCCCGACATGGCACTGTTATGAATAACTGCATTTAAAAAGTCGGAAGCATACTGCATACATTATGTTTTGCTAGTTAGGACGAGTCATAATGTTCATTCGATCTGAACAACAATTAATGTATGCAATTCTCATTCTGACTATGGAAACACAATTAGTCGTAACAGATGAATGGAATAATTTGTAACCAGGCACTTTACAAAGAATTATTCATTAAACTTGACTACATGACAAAAATGTTCCATTGCACCGAAATGTAAACATTTTAATTTGCACAAAAAGTCATAAATTCAACCAAACATGAATTGTTTTTCACCTATCCTTTTCAGTCTTCGCTCCTGTACTCTGGAATTCTCTACCTTTAGAAATAAGAAAAATCAAGTCACTTGCAATGTTTAAGACTGCTGTCAAAACTTATCTATTTCCAAGAGTAATTATTATTTGTTGTAGTGGAATATCATTTGATGTAATTTAATTTGTATGTAATAATGCAATTATCTATAATTTGTATGTAATAATATAGGTCTAATATGTAATTTATTTGTGATAATGTAAATTGTATGAATGTAATAATGTAAAGCGCATAGAGGATTGTCTTTGATGATTATTATGTGCTATTTAAATCACAATTATTATTATTATTATTATTATTATTATTATCTCAATAGAATCCAAGAGGAAATTCAGAAGCTGAGAGAAGCCAAGATCAAGGAAGAGAACCAAGAAGCCCTGAGCAAGGCCGAGAAAATGATGCAACTCAGACAACAATACCAGCAACGCCATCTTGATAACCAGGGTCAATACATCGATGACGGAGAGGAAGATGAGGACGATTATACAAGAGTTGATCCCAACAGTCATCAAGAGACGATGGTATGTTCACAAATAATAATAATAATAATAATAATATCGGATATTGATATGTAGGGCACATATCCACCATGCAAGATGCTCAAGGAGCTCCAATAATACCCGGCTCTGCTAGGCTGCCGATTTCGGCGCTCACAGCATTCAAGGAATTCTTTCCTACCGGTACCCATTTAACACCTTGGTGGAGAGTGGCAAGTGTAGATCAATGTCTTGCCAAAGGACATTAGTGCCGCGGCGGGACTCGAACCGCGGATCCTGTGATCCACAATCCGACGACTTATCTGCTAGACCACAATTGTCATTTTAGTCATATTTGTCTATTTGTTTGTGGTCATCTATTTATGCATTTGTGATTCTCAGACTGAAAAAGTCATTTCATATTGGGGTAACAAAAATCAGTAACAAATGGAGATAAGAGAGAATTTGAAGAGGAACAGCTTTTAGTACTTTAAATCTAGCCCCCCCCCCCCAACACAAACAAAAAGAGTAATGTGTGTCGAGTCCTCACCTCTTCTGGACACCATCACGTGTCTTGCTATTAGTGCTCTACTTATTTTTCATCTGTTGTTATTTTCTTAACTTGGGTGAAACAAAAAAGTTTTGGAGATATGAGCACAAGATTTGCAGTTTCTGTGCATAATCATCTCTTCCTTTATTTTGTGTGTAATCATCTCTTTCTTTGTTTGTTGTGTATCTGTATTTCAGAGTCAAACAGCAAGGTTAGAAGCCGCCAGGGCAGAGCAACGAGAAAGAGAGCGTCAGAACAGCAGGGTACCAGAACGAGACAGGTACGAACGGCTCCCTCAGGAAGCTGAAGACAGGAGGAAAGAGCGAAGAGACGATATCTATTCAGAACCCAAGGACAGACGTGATGATAGGACATCGAACAATAGATACTCTGATGATCCTTACGCGGATCCCCGCACCCTGAGGAACGGTCAGGACCAAGGGCGGAACTACGACGATAGGTACAGTCGTAGGAATGACAGAGACGTGGAAGAGAATCCATATGTAAGGTACAATGGGAAGAAGGATCACGGTGCCCAGGAACCAAGGGACGGGCGCCACGATAGAAACCGGGACAATCGATCCTCGGAACCTCCGAAGCAGGAGCGAAGGAGGAGCCTGAAGCGCACAGATCGCATTGAAAATGCAAAGAACAGAGCTGATGCGAGAGCGCAAGGGAAGGAGAACGTTGATTTGGATAAGCAGGAGAAACGGGAGGGCGATGAGAAGGAGAGGGAAAGGAGGCCAAACGAAAGACGAGCAGAGTATGCATCTCGCAGCGATAGATCGACGGAGCGTAAGAATCCGAAACGAGATGAGCAACGCCAAGATGCGAGACGAGACGACCGCTATAAAGACAGTCGGTATGATGGAAGGAAGGATGAAAGGCATCCTGATAGAGAGGGAGAGCGAGATGAGCGCTTTGATGCTAGGAGGGATGATCGGTATTATGACCAAGATGGTGGTAGAAGGCAGGAGGACAGTAGGAGAGATCGTCAGCCTCCGCGTGAGGAACGTCATGATAAATACCCTGATCAACGAGATAGGTATCGTACTGCCCCACAAGAGGATCGACATGGATATGGTAGTTTAGACAAGTGAGTAATGGAAAAAAATTAATTGTCAAAAAACAAATATTGTAATAAAAGCCAGTAGATGATTTTTTACTATTGTTAATTCCAAGGTCTATGATTGGCTCCCTACCACCTCAAAACAGCAGAAACCTTGTAGATCTATGTTTAAAATCATAAAATGTTGGTCAAAAAAAAAAATAGGTCCTACACTTTTCATGCTCATGCTTTCTCTTCAGCCAAATTATTTGTGCAGTATTCAACAATCCTTGTTCCTGAACCTTTAGCGTGGTAGCAGTTAATAATGATAATATGAAGATCAGGTATAAAGACATTCCGTTGTGTGCCTGCCAGGAAGGGGCAAACATGATTTTTCACTAAGTATTGATTAACAATATGGATAATATACAGATTGAAGTGTGTTGTGAAGATGTAGTAAAAATCAAAAACTGTAGATTGCATTTCTCTTGAAATATACATCTGTTGTATTGTATCCTTTCACACTTTTTTTCCAGGCACACTACGATATGTTAAGAACTCTATGAAGCCACCCTTTATTATGTTTATTTATATTTTGTTATAGACCGAGCAGGAGGCCTCGCGGTAAGGACCCAAACTACTACTCCATGTCTGAGAATAGTCGACCCGAGGACGATTATGCAAGGACGCAGAACTACTCCCGCCACAACAACTACACGGGCGAGCACCAGCAGGCTCCAAGGCGCACCTCGTACCCCAACGGCCCCGTCCCCAACCATACGTCTTACCCCTCCTCCTCTGGGCCAGGTGGGGATCGTGCCAGGCGAGCCAACTCCACCTCCGACTACCTGGAGTACAAGGACATGCCGCCGAGGTCAAAGTCGGTTTCGGACCAACTCATGGATGAATACCAGTACGATTCAAGGCGGGCTCCGGCCGGGCCAAGGAAAGGAAATCAGCAGCGACCCAATGACATGGGCGAAGGGCGGATGTATAATGATTATGATGACGCCGCTCGTGTCTGAACCCTGAACTTGACAGAGAGCCATTGCTTCACAGCCACGGCGTGATGTTGCTTTGAGTGAACAGTTTCACTGCCATCAATAAATTGCCTTAAATTTCCAGAGAGGCCGGCGTACCAGCTTTTTTACATCTTCCAGTTTTCTTTGAAGATTATTAACCATTAATGCCTACGTTGCGTGTTATGGCAAAGGAGATCATTTTTATGGGGGCATCAGATGATCTGCTTGGTGAATTTGATTTGAATGATATGGACATTCCGGTTTAAACATTAACTTGTTTATCAGTCTACTAAGCAGCATTTTAGCTTCTGATTTATAGAGTGCTGGTTTCACTACATATTGTGAAAATACATTGGTCAAAAAAGTGTAGAGATCTACACTTTTACGTAGAAACTATAGGGCCAATTAGGCTTCTATATTAAACATAAACATCTCAGTGTTGAAAAGATATTCTTCGCAGTACTCCATATGTTGTACCTGCAGCTTGGAAAATATAAAATATAAAGTACTGTAATGATAATGACTTGGAGGAGTACTGTTATCCAAGTACTATTTTTTATTGACAGTATATCTGCATACTACCATCGACTATGAGATCTTGCTTTTGAGTCAAGACAATCAGTTGATTTGTCATTCCTGATATATAGTTTTACGTTGTAAATAAGAATGTGTTTCAGGAAAACAGGTTCCTATATCTCGTCTTGTGAACTTGTTGCAGCATGTATGTGGCGGTCATGGGAAAAAAGTCCTGCTATACTGTTCGATTTTCCTGTCGCTTGGTATTGGGGTAACGTTCTATTAACACTTTTACGTTCTTTTAATACAAATGTGCTTCCCAATCCCCAATCATTATGTCTACAACATAAAGCAAAATTTTTGCATTCCATGGATTGTGCTATCGAAATATTAAAGCGGGACTGCACTACTTGTAGCTTCTTGCGCCCTCTATATATTGAACAATGCCTGAGTGAGTGGTACCCGTTGGTCCCCATGGTTCCCTTTTTCTTTCTTAACACAGGTTTGCAGGAGCTTTATTATGTAAAAACTGTGAGAATGAATGAAAATAGATAAATAAGACCAAATAAAATAAAATTGAATGAAATGGAATAATAATAATTAATTAATAAATTAGTTAATAAACAGATATATGATCACAATAGGAAATTAGTAGTGAATTTCAGAATGGGAAATATATTTGGTTACATTATAAGATAAATTCTTCTAACTTTTCTTTTTAAGATGTTACATTAGAATATGCCTTTATAAAAACTTCAATACTGATTCAAAATATTTACAATGTACTTTTGCAAAACTTTCAATTCGATAACTAATATGTCAACATACCCCCCCCCCCCCTACTAAGCCTTTGAGAGGATATCTTGTCCCCCTTCCCCTGTTCCTAAATTTCCCCAAGAAATCTGTTGTGAATATCAGGTACATGCTAAGTGCCAATACTGAAGGTTAATCGTATGTTGTATCAAATCAAGCTCTGTGAGAATGTACGTCAAACTTATCATTAAAAATACCAATCTTTTTTAATGCGCGTGTAAATAAATGTATTCAGAACATGAGTATGAATTTTTGTATTAACAATTGTATTCCTACCCTTTTTTACTCTTGTTCAAATTCCTTTTTTTGTAAATAGAATTAGGTACATTCCCGTTTCAACCTTTTCCAAACCCATCAGTGTATTCTTGCTAATGCTTTAAATTGAATATTTGTATCTATCTTGTTACTGCAAATACATTGTAGATATGTATTAGTCAAACTCATTGTTCAAGTCTATGCAAAGTTATTTACAGATATAGTACAGCAGTATAAATTCAATATGAATTTCATATTTATGATGTAGATGATGTACCAGTATGATTTCTTTTCTTCAAATAGCACAAGCGAGAAGATTTCATTTTTACCTTTTTTGTGTGTTTTGTGATCAATATTATTATATTTAGTATTATTACTGTAAATTTACATGAAAGGCCAGATAATGTATTAGATTACTTACGTTTACTATGGTACAGTTACACAAATTTCTGCAACTCAGTGTAATAAAATAGATTCTACTTGTGGTATAACATGTATCCTGCCTGTGGTGATCTAGATATGAATCTTTGATTTTACATACAGTAGGCCTGTTTTCATCAGCTCTGGTTTGCCAAATAACCCGCTATTTTAACTATCCCGATTGCAAACTAACCAGTTAATTTCTGTTTTCATCAGCCCGCAGTTGCAATTAGCGGGATATTTGGTCAAGAAAATATCCAGAGAAATCTTGGTCTTGTTTCCAAAATATCCCGCTATTTGCGCCCGTCCGAGCTAGTTTGTGATGAGTGTATCAGTCTGGTAAAGCTTCAACTTTGAGCTTCGGGATAATATCCCGAGTCTGAATATGGGGGTTATTTGGCAAATTCAAGCAGATGAAGGCAGGCCTATTGACAACCAGAGGGGTGCAACTCGAAGGAGATATTCGCAACGTCTGCAACAAGAAGAGGATAAAAATCACTTCCAATGCCATCAGTAGTTAGACAAACTACAGAGTATCTTTTGTATGGCAGTTCTAGCAATAGTTTTTCATGAAGTCTATTCATAATGCACCTCGGATGTTCAAAATGTAGTAGTCACTTATCTGTTTCTGTATGGGATATACATCTATCGGTATGAAAATATAAACCTTTCTCATCTTTTTTCATGTTTGTGATGTCCACCATTATACCAGAAGACGCCAAAACCCTTTCAAGTTAAAGAATAAACATTTGTTCTAACCTCATACACTTTCCTGTAATACCATCAGAATTTGTGATAAAACTTTCTCAAAATAAGCGCACAGATTATTTCAAGTGCATCAGTTTCTACTTGCTCTCTCTCAGACCAATTTTCTTTTGAAATACAGTCAAAATTTTCTCTCAGACTAATTTTCTTTTAAAATTCTTTTAAAATACAGTCAAAATTTCCCCTGAACTTCTTAAATATCCCAATATTTTCTTGTTCCTTTATTTCTCTGAAATATTCACAATAATTGCATCCAGCATACATCTTCAGTAACCAAGGTTACCGCCATCTATCATTGAATACAAGGAATAAAACCTCTACAGTTTGTCTGCATGGGTTCTTTACATTCAACACTGCTTAACTTGCGCTTCCGTTCTATCTCTTCATCGTCTTTAGATAATCTTAACATCCATAAAGTGCCTTGACTGCATTTTTAGATTCAATATTATACATCTGATGTTGGATAATTCTTCCTTTCATCAATTATGGCAGAATCACTAGCAAAGTGATTTAAAAGCAGAATCTGTAACTGTCAAATGCATGTCGTTGTGGTCATTATAGAGTTTTGTTTTTTGTTTTACATGAGATGCTAAAAACTGCTGTTTTGTCTAGATATTAATTAAAGAATAATTTTGTTGGCACAAATCCTGAAAAGTCATAGTTTTCAAATAGCTTGAATGATTTCCTCAGTAACCCTTGTTGTGCCAAATACTCCCACATTGAATAAGGTAATCGCTTTATCTGTCATGCATTTTTCCCCCCTGCATTTTCCCTTATTCATACAATTTGTTTTCTAACAAGATTTATAATCATAAATTATTGCTGCATCTATGGTGCTCAATTCCTACCAATTTTTGTATTTTCTTTGCTCTATGAAAATTGATTGTAGAGTCATTAAAATAAAATAAATTATCAAAGTCAAGTGTTTTTTTTTTCCATCGGGTTTCTACACTTCTGTAAATCTGCTGGCAGCATGAGGGAAAGTTTAAACAAAAAAAGAATTGTCAGGAAAATATGCATTTCTTGCCGTAGTTGTTTAATATTTGTTTGTTTATCCATAATAGCATTCACGTATGTTACATCTGGCTCTTGTAATGTATATTTGGGATGAAGTTACAGCCATCAAAGCAGGAAATGAAAAAAATCTTAAGGATACAGTTTCTGAAAGCTGATAATTATACCTCATTCACACCAACAAGACCGAAACCGGACCGACAACGGGTCGAACCAACAATTACATTACCAGGAATAGCCAAGAATGGGTCGGTTTGGGTTCGGTCTGGCAGTGTGACAGAGGTATTAGGATGATGATGTTAAAAAAATGATCGTCATGTATCGACTCTCATTATTAAGTATAAGCAAATTCACAATTTGGAAGCATGTACATAGGTCCACTGTGCTTCCTCTTGTTAAGATGCAGGACTGTACAGCAGATCACAATATTTTGTTTTTCCTCTATTCCTATTACACATCAATAATTTCTCGATACATGTTTCGAAAAATCATTTTTTTGTTTGTTTATAGTCTGTACATTTTATGATAACCTATCTCTGCGTATGCCACATATTTGTTGTAAAGAAGTTCACGAAAGGACGATTGGAAGCCGGAATAGACCTATATTTTGTTTTTACATTTTACTGCTTTATGTTACATTTTCTAGCTTTTTTTATTCTTGGAAATACCATGCAGAACTACAAAGAAATCATTGAACTATATAAAGCAATTATCAGCTACATGATTTATGTTGGTTTTATTTTCATTTATTTATGTATTTGATAGTGTTAAAAAGGCTTGATTTTGTGTTGTATATCGACAATGTTTTCATATTTCTCGCTGAAAAGTAGTAGCCCCATTTTAAATGCATTGTGATGCCATTTCATGATGTTTATAAATTTCATTTAATTCATATATTTCATTGCCTAGTGGACGTTGATTGCCATATTTCAAACAAAATGTGATTTAATATTTGAGAGATATTTATCAGCAGTATTGATTATAACCCACTTTGTAGAAGCCAAGATAATTCATGTGAAAATGCAAACATACTGCCTACCCTCCACAGTTGTTTTCATAAGTCATGTGTGGACAGCTGCCATGCACATAATTGCTCTTCAAGATAAAGTTGAGTTCTGGTCATGCGATTGCATTGTGAAAGAGACAGTGTGGAATCGATCAGAAAAGGTTGGTCATCTAGCATATAAGTATTGGTGTGTACTGCAAGGTTCTGGAATCATCAAAATGATAAGAAATTTGGCACAGTCTTGGTAAAGTTACAAGCAATGTATTCAGAAATATGTGGGACTACATGAACATGTGGCATTAAAATCTGTCCCAACTTTTATGCTGCTACATGCCATATTTAAAATATAAAGGCATCTGAAGAGTCATGCTTTTCAGGGAACACTTTTAGTCTGATGTTCTTCCACACTTGCATAATAACAATGATAATGCTCACAAATTATTTTTCACCTCTCCCCAGAACTCATCCTTCTCTTTAAAAGTGCATATTTTCCAGTCTCTTGAATCGATACGGTACTGAAGATACAAACACTTCAGTAATTACTATTTTGTAAAGTATTCCCATTTTCTTTCTCCTCTAAATAAACAGTATTGGGGAAAGTTAACCATATTCAATCTTGATTAACAAGGATATCTTTTCCAACACGATATGAAAGAAGCAGCATTCCATGTTGATTTGAACTTCACACTGGGTTGAAGCCGGTGTGAACAGAGCAAGGTACAAATTGATGAAACAACCCTCCACAAAATTAGTGAACCTTTCACATAATGTATTCAAACTTACTACTTACCTCTTGTACTTTTACAAATTATTCATCCGTCACAATATGCCCCATATATGGTTGTATACAAACGGCATATAATGCAATGGAAATGTTCAGTTTTACTAGTACTACAATGAGATGATATTTTGTCATTGCATCGAAATTACACTCTGTATGAAATCTTTACATAACAGTACATTATGTGTTTACTATTTCATTTCTCAGTAAATTTAAAGTGTATTATTGGGCATTATTAGAAAGAAGAAAAAAATTGTATTTTTCTTTTTCTTATTTTTTTCTGCTCTTCAAGAACAACATAATTGCCAAGAAACGTCTTCAAATAATTAGAAACACAATCCTAAGAAACTGACTATCAGAAGAGAAAACAAAAACATAACAGCCTCTGTCTGCGCATGCTCCAAATTTTCGTTTGTTTAGAAAAATAACATTATAATCATGGCATAATATATTTGTATATAATATGCGTTATTCCTATATACTATGTTTCTTTCCTGAAACCGTTTTGGGCTAGAGGCAGTTTGCCAAGAAAGAGTTAGCACATAGACATATTTTGTGAAAGGGATATCTTTTCCCTGGTATTCTATGTACATGCTATGTTTACACATTCCCAGTGAGGACTTTGAATTACTGCGGCCATACGAAGATCGATTTCAACTCCCATTTGGGAAAATTGATATCAAACTAGGAAGTATTTCAGTCTAAATTTAGCCAAGATTGAAACTCTAGAATAAAGCATTTTATCACCATTATCTGCAATAAGCTAATAATGCACAAATTGTAGTCAGTAGGGTGTACTCGTTTTTGCATGAATCTCTAAAGTGTTTTGGGAATTTGATGTTGTAGGATTTCCGAAACTGCTACTTGGTATTTCTAGGTGTAATTGTGTTTTGGCAAGGAAGGCATCTGGAATCGGTCTATTTTTGTTCTTTCCTGGAAATTTGATCCTGTACATTTTTAATGACATTATTCTTGTTAAGTCCTAGTTATCAAGCCAGTCTTGAACAGACTAGTTCTTCTTTCTTTGTGT